AGAAGGCATTTTTATGGGCTCTCAAGCGTGATAAAGCAAGCCACTTGGGATGTTTGGAGAACACTCGGATAGCTCATAAATTTTTTCCCTTAAGCTCGTGATTTATTAGTTTGCCTTGTGTTCTCCCAACATCTTGCATGGTTTTATCACATTACAGAGTCCACAAAAAATTAATGTGTTCTATTGATTAAATAAAATAAATTGAATGATTACCTCATGCACTGTTGTGGAAATGCATGTAACTGTTTGTTAAACTTGTGAAATGCCTTATCACCATGTTTCACTGTTGCAGTTTCATACTTCTCCCCAGTCCACTCCTTGGGACCCTCCCCTGTTTCCAAGGCATCTAAAACATGGCCTCCTTCACGCAGCTGATATTCAGATAACAGAGCTTTCTCATGTTTTGTCATCTCAGTGGATATGGCTTTTGGGTCTGGAGCTTCCACAACGCTAATGAACATTGATGCAAAATGAGGAATGGATGCTGATGTCATTTCTGAGTGTGGCTGACTTGGGTAAAAATGTCCAGCTATCTTATGGTCTGCCTCTTCTGGTTTGTCATCAGAGAGTGTTAATTTTCCAGTACATTGCTCCAAGATTGTGGAAAAATCATTATCACTGTCAGAACAACAAAGTACACAAAATAATCAATCTAATGAAAACCATAGCTAACTGGAAAGTACGTAATGCTTAAGCAAAGACTCCAAGTCTCTCCAACTTTTTGCCTAGGTGCCAAGACACACTGAAATGTTCTTGCTACCATCCCCAGACTGAACAATTCAGTTGTCAAAAAAGTGTGTTTCATAAAAACGTTGCTCTGGAGCAAAATACCAAAATGAAAGATATTTCTTAACTCAAAAGATATTCTGACTTGGGAGCAATCACCAGCTATGTGAAAAAAGCAAATGAGATAAACCATTGACATTTTTGTCTTTTAAGTCCTGATTTGTCTGTACATGAAGAGTACTGACAAGATCTTAAGTCAATTGCCTCCTGGAGACTAGCATTATTATTCTGGATGCCAACAGACAATTATCCTCAGTTGCACTGAGCCTTCCAACGAGCTGGTCACAATTTTGGACCCTACCACGGCACACAAGAAATACATTTACTCACTCTTCCCAGTCGTCAGCATTATCACACCAATCATCCACTTCAAATCCGTCAGAAGACTGGATCATAAAAGAGGCAAAATACCAACATCAAATTGGGGAAAAAGAGAACCTGAACTAGGCAAGAACTGTCTACCATTTTGTCAGGAACAGACTCTTCTTGCAATAAAGAACAAAGTCAATCTAATTATCTATAACACTGCATACCTTTAGACCCCTTTAATCTACAAAGAGAATAGGAAGGAATTTTTCATCACTATAATAAATAAATAAATAAACTTTAATAGCTAACACAATTACTGGTATCCCAGTAGTTTACATTGTGGGCTGTATTAAAAAGATAATACCACACTTTTAAGAAGAAAGGTGAGAAAGAAGAACTATGTCAACTGGAAGATATTGTTCAATTCGAGACTAAATTTTCAAAGCTTAAATACATAGCAGACAGTGTAAAGAGTTGA